ATTCACTTAAAACTTCAACATTAATGTATCTACTCCTATATTGCCGTCAATATAAAAGTTCAGTTTATGGGCAAAGAATGATTCCATGAATGTAAAATATCTTATATCGACTTTAATTTACGAATAGTAAAACTACAAAAGGTAATTGAAACAGGATTTCACATTTAAAGTCAATTACCTTAAACAAGTTACGTTATGCACGCAACTTGTTTCAGGTCGAAAAGTCACTACGCGGTAGCCCGTAAAGACATACGTGACAGGCTGGAAATGTTTTTTCCTACATTATAATACTCTCACTAATGATTTACAATAATTCAATAAATAATCGATATTCTAGCTCAGTGGTTAAAGAGTTGCGTGTAACTCACAGGTTCAAATCCTCGTAACGGCGAAAAACTATGTGTTAATCGCGTTTATTCGTTAATTAACGGTCACGACCGTCGTTCAAACTGTCAAAATAATTGGCGTAATGAAAAACTCAAAAAAATGTTAAACTTTGATTGAGTAACTGTTAAACTTGATTGTTAAACTTTGATTAAACTTGAAATGTTAAACTTTGATTGAGTTTATTCAATTAGGTCAGATTCGTCAAAGTTAAAATTAGTAAATTGATTTTATCGGTCACGACATGAATACTTTAAAGTTGTAAAGTATTCAAAACGGCGGAAGTTGAAATATAAAAAGACTGAAATAAATAAGACTGAGAGATAATTAAACTGTTAATTAAAATATTTTTTGTAAATATAAAAACTACTTGGCATTTAAATTGTTAAATTTAAGTTGTTTAAGCTGATAAATTTGTTCATTTGTCATGTGCTTTAATAATACTTCACGCGGCAAACAATTAAATTTAATGAGAGTACAGTAATTGATGCCAACGTGTGAGCCCTTAGGCCTAAATATTCGTACAAAGGTTTTATGTTGTAACTGAAGTTAGCGCTTTCAGTCCGCAAATTATTTAAGCTTCATCGAACGCAACGCACAAAGTTATTTAGTTTTTTTTTTTGATGGAATTATTATTACAAACTACACTGGTGTTTCCCTCTGTCCCACTGAGTGTATGTACAATTTTCGGATGAATTCCGTTGACGTTAGAAAAAAGTGCTTGGGTAACTGGATATTAAATAGTCAAACACTAATTTCAATTAAATTCTCGTTCAGCTGGAACGCGTTAATTGTCCAATTATGGAGGTCTACTTAACAAGTCTGGCGTGCGAGCTAATGTGCGGATCGTATTCGATAATCGGTATAACTACGAAGTTACTTTTCCTTGGAAATGGATATGATACACCGTTCCCGTGAAGAACCCATTATGAACTTGTGTTTGATTCATCTTATCCTTTAAACGAGCAATTCTTGTATATGTATAATCGGAATCTCGGAAACGGCTCCAGTGATTTTCATGAAATTTAGTATGTGCGTAGATACGAAAAATCGAAAAGAAAAAGGTTTCATTTTTAGAAAATGTCCTTTTATTCCTGTTTTCAGGGAATGAAAAATATCGTTCGAATATGACAGTAAATTTCGCCGCAAAAAATTATTATAATAGCTTGGTCGGTAATCGGGCGGCTCCAAAACAGACGGCCGTGGTTCGTATCCCGATCATTTACACACTTATTTTTTATACTTTTTTTCTATACCAGATCATTTTCTTTATTTTTTATTTCCAAAATATATGATTTACCAAAAAAAAAACCTCCAGGTACTTTATATTACTCGAGTAGTTATCTGTTACTTTGCGAATGGAATTTAAAAACAAAGTAATATTTTTTTGAAACGATGGGGTTTTGAAGAGTTCTGAAAGGGCTTCCTTAATTTCGATTGTATTGAGTTTCGTGAAAATCATGTTGTTTATGTTACGGGCTTTAGTGTTCGCTCGAGCAACGTTCAAAAAGTCCAACTATTTGTGGTCCAGTATTACGTAAACTTTGTAAGATAGAAGTATAAAACTTTTATTATAATTTTCCTGCCACACAAATTATTACGGTTTTTGAGTTCGTAATAATTTGTGTGGAATGTCATTATAACCGTACGGTATAATGTGATATAATCAAAATTCGAATAGATTTAGACAAGCATCGCTGTGTAAAGTAGAAATCGCGGTCAATGATGCTATTATTTTCTAAATCCACACTTGTTTATAAAGTAAGCAATGCGTGAAAGAGTCTCGAGTTTAATAAATAAAATCAAATTTCTGTTTCGACAATAAGAGCTGTGAAGACCTTTAGCCGTGAAAGCGACGGAAATTTCGTAAACGAACGGTATCTGAAATCATTATAAATAGGAAGTTGTAAATATAATGTTTCCCTCTACCTTAAATTGACTTTACCTTAAAAGAAAGCAATTAAGTGAATATCCAGATTATTTTATTCACATTGATTGATGCAATCGTTTTCTAAGGTATAGAAAGAATTGAATTGTTGAACACAAGCGTTAAAATGATTTCGCTATCATGTCATTATACGTGTGTATCATGTCTACCTGTTACTGTATAGAGCTATGCAACACAGTATTAGTCGCTGAAACAAATTAATATAATTTATAATTAACAAAATGTATAACCTTTCTCGCGTTTCGGTTATTGTACTAATTTACCCACTTCCTCGATTGTTCTGTTTGCTTTGTCCTTGAATTGTATACGGTACACGTCTGTATGCGTTTACATTCCATTTTATCAATAAGTTGGCTTAAAATTGTTGATTTTATCGGTCCATTTATGTCCTAACTTTTTTTATTAGTAGGTACTTTCTTTAAATTGTTTTTTCGCAAGACAATTTATAAACTAGGAAACATTAAATTATTATCAAGTATAAAACGCACTCATTTATAATAATAAAAAAAATATGTGTATGTGTAAGTACTGTTGATGACTCCGTGGCGCAGTTGCCAAGGTATTGGCTTCGGCGTCGGGGGTCGTGGGTTCGATTCCCACACGGGACAACTGTTTGTGTGACCCACAGATAGTTGTTTCGCATCTGGGTGTTTGTCCGCGTGAAATTTATGTTTGTAAAACGTCCTTACAACACAGGATAATATTATCCTAAAGTAAGGACAGTGTTTTTAAAAAAACAAATAATAAAAACTTAATGTAAGAAGGAAATTTTATCCCCATATTTGTTTGTAAAAGGGACATTAAATGCAATTGATAACGGAATTATAATTGGAATTATAAGTAAATGTAAAAAGTCGTTATTGGTTGTCATGGTAATACCTTGAAGTTGGTCGCTTTACACCAACTACACCATGTCGCTTTTTGGCCGTCCGTGTGCTCGCTCGCGCATTGTAAAAAAAATTACATACGCACCAAAAGAAGTACAACTTCACTACATACTATGAAACAAAGTCATCCCGCTGTCTGTCTGTCCCTTTGTATGCTTAGATCTTTAGAACTACGCGACGGATCTTGATGTGGTTTTTTTTACTATATAGAGTGATTCAAGAGGAATGTTTATATGTATAATACATTGCACCCGTGCGATGCCGGGGCGGGTCACTAGTCAATAATACGATTCAGTTATTGCCATTTGCATGTGTTGTAAAAGAGTGACAGCTAAGTGATTTGTCACATGTCGGATTCAGTCAGCGTTAGTGACGTCTGTATGGAGCGGTGACATTTAAATTGCACTCATGTCGTCTTAAGGGAGCTTCACTCGACGGGACCTTGGCAATGTTCTAACAATAATAATTACAAAATTAGACAGAACCCTTTCACTTTTGGATGATTGAAAAAGCTATTTTTTAATACGCTAACATGTTTATAATCTATATACGGTATCTGATAGAGGCACGTGAAAAAACATGTTTCAGAGAAACTACGACTTTATAGTCCCCTTTATTGTACGGTACGAGACTGGGCGTGAAAATACTCATTAAATAGTCAACCATGACAAAGTTTTCTGCGGTTTCAAAAGTAAAAAATAACAAACGCTGTCGGTCATTGAAAGAAAATACACATTTGCATTTTTGGATTATCATCATAATTATACATATTATATATTATATACACATACGAAGTATTAAAAGGTTATAAAATCTCACATTTAAAGTATTTCTCTGTTCATGTACTATATTATTAAATTTATTAATATGACTAACTAGCTGATAGACCATAATTTTTCAAATATTTTTCTGGACGTATCTCGTAGACGTAGCTATTTGGGGAAAATTTTATTTCCCTATATTTTTATTTGTGTTACAAAATGGCCAGCATAATGTTAACATATTTTCGCAACACGATGTTTGGATACGAGTTTATTTATTTTTTGCATTAATTTGACAGACAACACATGTAAAATCCTTTAATTTTTATGATTAAATAAATAAAAATTATCTAACAATTGCTACCCGTTTCGTTGTTATCAAAGTCAGGACTATAGTCATATTATAGATGGAAACCATTTGTTTCCAGCAAAAATATCACAATCTTTGCACTTGGATGGTCCAGCCTCGTATTCTTAATCATGCAATAACAAGTATCTGTCATCATCACATTATTTTTTCAGCTATCAACGTTCATATGTTAATGGTTATCAGTTTAGAGCAATATGATAAGTACCTTAGACCACCATTAAATATGTCACATTCTATACCATAAAATCGACCTTGGTCGTGGTGATTTTGAGAGGTCAATGACTTTATGAAGGAAATGATAAAAAAATACGACATAACTCTCCACGTTAATTTACAAGTTAGACAGAAATAGTGTTTGTAAATATTTATTTACCAAGCTCAAAAGGTTCTGAATTCTATTTGTGGTTAAAATTTAACTTAAATTAATTTTCTTTTCGAGGCATAATCAGACCATGATTATGAGATACGGCTCTTGATCGGACCGGTCGTGGAAGAGGTCATATGTACCCAGGACTCATTTATACAACACAACACGCAAAGATTGTACTAATGCACATAAACAATTAGTTGGTCCTTGCCTACAAGCTTCCCAAATCTTGACGGCCAGTATCACCTACCACACAATAATTTTTTTTATTTTCCCCCGTCAGATTATTAGAATGGCGTCGACAACGATATTGCTGTGCGCGTGCGTGGCGGCGGCGGGTGCGTCGCTGGAAGTCGTGAACCAGTGGAACTACCTGCAGTTCGACTTCCCCCCGGACCCCGTGCTGCTGGAGAAGTTCCAGCCGGAGAACACGGTGCCCACGGGGCTGGAGATCGGCTGGGACCGCCTGTACATCGGGATACCGCGGCTGCGGGCTGGCGTGCCAGCTACCTTGGCTTGGGTCCCACGCAGCTTGCCCCCCGGCGTCAGCCCCGTTTTGCAGGTACCAGTCGACTATCTTTCACTGATGAATGCGAAGTTCGTATGTACAGCCCAGTCACATTATCGACGCTCCTCCCCCCTCTCATTTCGCGACGGTACGATTAGACACTTCAACAATTCAATCATTACATCATTACTTAATATTATAAACGCGAAAATTTGTATGTATGGATCGATGTTTGTTACTCTTTCGGAGAAGTACCACGACCTCACAGAAGAAGAATTATACTTTTGCTTTTAAAAAGTTGTCAACACATCTACAACCCCTAATAAATATCTTACAGAAGAAGTCGCGTGCAAACTTAACGTTAATTGCTGTACTTGATGGACTTGTGTGTTCGATATTACCACTGGCAATCAACTCTCAAACTACTCGTGTGAATTAAAATGGAATAAGTGAAAGAAATGAGACAAAGACATTTATTTTAGCACGATTCATATCTTCGCCATTGCGCCTGTAACTTGTAGGTTCGATCCCAATAGGAAAAAAAATAGTTTTTTACGTGAAAAGTTATCAAGCAAGCATATGGTACATCTGATGTGGGTTGCGGATGGATTGCTAAGCTGTAAATGTAGGGACACTGTGACCTCACTCACCAGACGAAACGCGAACACATAGCACTTCCACTTTACGCCGGTCCTGAGCTAGGCCGTGTTACTTCCCCGGATCAGCATGCAATTGAAGAGACTGCGGTGTTACCCTACCGTGCTAAATAAATTTTATTATTCCATATCCCGTTCATTATGTCTCTAATTTTCATGTTTAAGTATTAAAAAAAAGGAAACAGCAATATGCAGCAATAAATGCAAATAATTTATTTGCATTTATGAATTTCGCTTTATATAAAAGAGTAAAAATTCTATCATTTCTGATGTATATCATTCAATAGGTATCTAGGTTTTTAAACATACATATGTGTAATAAAAATAATGGATTTATTAGGATTTTAGAACATAAAAGAAATTTATGAATACTGATATGTTGTGTATAATTATGTAAAAATGTCATTTAATTTAATACATAATTGCAACCGTCGATTTTGTCAATAATAAATCGTAATGTTTAAAAAAATCAGGATACGTAACGTGTTTTAAAAGTGTTATATTTTAAGCAACTGTTACTAACCGGTCCTGTGTTACACAACTCCTTAATGAATCTACCGAATTTATTTTTAGCCGCCTACACACGCAAGCGAAAGTGACCGTTTTTATGAGATGTAGCAAACGAGCGGTTCACATCATGTTAAGTGATTATCGCCGGACATGGACATCTCTCATATCCGTTCCGAGGACGTGCAGTTGTGTTGTGTTGTTGTAATTTTTGTTGTGCTGTTGTTATCGCCGGTTCTTCTCAGTTTCAGTGGGTTTCTTTCCGAACCGGTAGTAGTGTTTTTGACAATCAATAATTAAGTGCTGCTTCTATATTTAATAAAGACATTTGAATTTGAATTTGTTGTTAATTTCTAAGAGACCAATTACCTACCTTCCGAGTCGAGAGGAAGATGCGTTAATACACGGATTCAATAAAGTCGTGGTTCATCATTGGAAATCATTTTTATATCGGTTTTGATTTAAGTATTAGTCATCGCATTTAAAGTGAAACTTGAAATTTATAAATAGATTTGTCGAAAAATGTTTCGCCGTGACGCGTCCATACGCTCTAGCCACTAAGCTTAGCGGCAGTCTATATCCATACCATGAAAATCATCGAAATCGACATCTTATCAACTTTGTTTTTGTTTCATGTTAGCTATGATTTATCTATTTTTATTTTACAAACAACTTTCATTCAAAATCTATATTACTAAAAATAAGACATAAGCAAGTTTGAATCGCCTCAGCCTTCTTGTTGTGAGCATGTAAAATAGTACTTAGAAATCCTCTGCCTACCGTAGAAGGCGACCCAAAGGGGATTTCGGGTCCGGGTGAACAGATGCGAACTGAATCGAACCCCGCTTCTTTTATGTTGGGACCTAATTATTAATCAAAATCTACATTGTACTGCACTCCGTAGTAGATAGAACCAAGTGTATTAAAAAAGAAATCTAATAACTCTCTTATTTAATCGATATAATGTGCAAAGAGCATTATATGTACATATGTTTCCGTTTCTTTATTACACGTCCTGAAAACTATTAAATATTTTATAATAATTTTAAATTTTCTTCGATACAATCATCATAAGCGTATCGAGGCCCCACCATTGTCAAAAGGAAATTTTGTGTGACTTTGACATTAACCGGAGCAAGGCCGGTCGACTTTAGAAGTAGGCGAAAACATTGAAAGTGAAAGTAGCGAAACGGACGCTATGTAATATGTTTTTAAAGTTGTTATATATGTTATACATCGCGCGTCATGTCGGTCAATTGGAAAGTGGAGGACAACCGCACACTAAATAAATGACAGGAAATTAATTCTTATTTATAACGTAAGCCTGAACCAGTTATTAAAACATAAGATATGAGCACTTCTTACTCTTACCTCTTCGTACTTGTCTTTACTCCGTTCCATGGATTAAATGCTATCTTGATTTCTCATTCTATATTTGTTGCGAAGAAGTCTTGTGATCTGAAGACATCGTCTTCTATCATCATATAACGCTGTTTCATGATAAATTTTGCTTCATTCTGTTCTTTTAATGAATAACCTGTTATATTTACTTATTAGACTTTAAGGGGAAGTGAGTGATCCACAATTCATTAATTGTTAATCAATTGACTACAACAGATATCAGATTTATGTACAGATAAACAACATATCCTTAGTTTTCTAATCTTTGTATGACACTCCGAAGTGTGTTTTTAAATTTTAATCAAAAGGTTGAAAAATAACTAAATTTTATTTACTTTTATAGAGAGAACAGGAATTCCAAACTTATTATACTAGTGTAATTGAATATTTTGATAATCATTCGGTTAATGTCTATTGAATGCATGATATTTTAACAGCGTTAATCTTAGCTGATGGCTGATTAAAAATAAGTGGGTGAAATTAGTCGTGGTCAAAAAAACCTGACCGACGGATTTTCATTGTTGGCAGTGAGTTTATCTCATTCGTTCTCACATTAAAAACAAAACACGGATCTGTGACGAATTACACGCGCGTATCTAGAGATTGTAATCGGCGCGGACACGAGAAAGCGTGAAGGGCGATCGAGCAGAATAAAGTTAACTGCCGGCCTTGACAAGACAAAGCCAACACTTGTTAGGACATACATGATCTTGTTATAACTTCTCGCTCTGTAGGACGCCATGCACAATAATCTCAATAAAAACCCCATCAGTAATTTTTATCAAGTTGAATCCTTAATAGTAGACGTATAATCTTAACATTAGAATCCAGTGCGAGACGGGGCGCGACCGCAAAGTCACTCCATTCACTCTGATGAAGTCCAAGAGGACATGATCCGGACTCCTCGGAATAGGTCCGAAACTATTCGGTACATACACCGACTGGACGTGGGATCAGCCGTTTTGATATTTTGATAAATTGAATCCAATCATTTAATTTTATCAAGTTGAATCTTTGACTTGTCTTTTGTGTTGATGTAGATTAGTAAGGTAACGAATGTTTGATTTCTCACATTCGTAAAAGCGAATGTGGACTTAAAAATAATTCGCGCGAAAAAATGTTAGACAGGATTGACATTTTCTGATTCATTTTCATTGAGCCAATAGAGTTTGAACGAACGAATTTCGTCTCATAAAGTTCAGTGTTAATTTGATTTGTTTTTATTTGAGGTTTAACATAATATTCGAAAGTGACAAACTAGTATGAAAACACGTGTTTAAATAAATTTGTGCTTTTATGAAAATATGTTGTGTCATAAAAATATAGCCTAGCACTATGCGAAATAACCAAGAAACTAAATATAAAAATGAATATGACGAATATAAACTTTAGTTAAGTGATTCTTTCTGTTGATATGGTAATACTCAGGGAGGCAGATGCGTTGCCACCTTTTAATAAAGTGGGCTTCGGCTATCACATTCATCAGGCGAAACGTAGAGATATAACGCTTCCAGTTTTCGCCGGTCTTCTGTAAGGTGAAGGCGAAGACTGTTGCGTGACCCTACCACATTTAAACTGATATGTACATTTTCTATTTGATTTTGAGGAATTCCCTGATGTATTTCCGTGGTCGAAGATCCAATATCAATGATCTTAATATGGGACAATCCTATATGGTCTTTTGTTATACAAGACGCAGTTCTGGAAAACATACAAAAAAAAATCAACCGAATTCGGAACCATCTCTTAAAAAAACGCAAAAATGCGTTTCAAGAACGCTAGTGGCATATCTTAATAGTTAAAAACTATTTAACATACAACAAAAAATAATAAATAATTCGTATAATCGTTTTGTTTTCTGTAAAATTGATAGTAAATCTATAAATTCTAATTCCCTCGCTTTTTTGATGAATGAATTTTGCGCTTTCATACACTATGTAATATATAATGCTTCATCTGGCACCGAACTTTTGGAAATTCTTTTTGAAAAACTAAGCTTGAGAGAGCCACGGGGACATTCGTGCATTAATAAATTGTGGGCATTGTCGACTGTGGGCCGCTGAGACCTTTGTTAACGCAATTGACATGCGAGTACGACAAATCGCGATGTCTGAATAAAGGGATATGTCCTTTTTAAATGTATTAAGCGCGGCAGGTATTCAGATATATTCAGAATAGGCGCGGAATAATGGAGAAAAGTTTATATTCAAAGCATGTTATTGTTGCCCGAATGAATAAAGGGTTTGCGAATACTTATTAAAAAACCACGTTGTGTCGACATTAGCATGAACTTAACAACAATAATTCAAGTAAATAAAATGCTCATAGACCTTTTAATTTAAAAATGGACATATTCCCGTGTTCGATTTTTCTCAATTCATCGAGGGCCTTGTCGAGATAACCTCGTATTAAGTATTGTTTGTTTGTACAAGTCATTTTCTTACTTTTAAACTATTTTTTTTTTCAATATTTGCGTGTTTTCGGTACAGTCGTCGTACGGTTTCGTACGGTACGTCTGAAGATATTGAAAACGGAGACAACAAAAAAACAACAGATGAAAACAGCAAACACACTCAAAAATACAAGGTTTTGCCGTATAAACTTTCCTACACTTTTTATACTAAAATGCATCTCACTTAGTACTATAATTATTACCAAATAACTATATACAATTGAACTTTAATAAGTTTAAGCTGAATTAATAAAAGTATTAATAATAAACTAAGTGTAATAAATAAAAACGAAAGTCTTCAAGAGCTGCGTGGCTTCAAGGCACCTTTAGTTGTAATGATGTTGTTTATTAAAATATATAGAAAAAAGTTTGTTTTGCATTTTTACAAAATTTAATTATGTTTTGCGTTTTAATACACATAACCTTAAGGCGCAAATCCGAAATTCGTTCGATTCTCGCGGCGGGGAAAAACTTTCCGTCATTTTTTCCCCACATATTTTAATGTTTTATGTAAACTGCAGAGATTAGCATAAAATTTATCTATCTATAAGAATTCTAAATTTGATTTATGTTGTTCAGGCGTATCCCGATTGGTCGTGGCACACCGCTGGCCGCGGTGACATCAACTGCACAGGCTTGATCTCCGTCTACCGCACGCGGGCTGATCGCTGCAACAGGCTCTGGGTGCTGGACTCCGGCATATTCACGAGCATTGACGACTTCCGACGCGTGTGCCCACCCAAGATCCTCATATTCGATATGGCCACCGATCGCTTGGTGAGTGTCTTTATTACATAAAATGTGAATGTTCTTCGGTATTAAGTGCAGTTCGCCTGCGTCAGTTATACAGTCTGAGTACAGCATGTGTGGAAGAGTGAACATGCTTTTTCTGAGTTTACCAACTAAAAGATCTATCGCTGATAAATGTGATGACATTCAAATACTGACCAGCGTTAGAAAAACATAAATGAATAGGGGATGATATTTTTTTTTGTGCTTTGAAAGAAAACGTATATTTTAAGCTCACACTGTTTAACTAATTCGAAGCAAAAAAATTATTTAACTAGAGATATAACAAATTATAGGTACGGTAGGATCTGAACAATTGTGTTTGCAAAACGCTGTTCAAGTTTGAAGGCCGATAGCAAAGGCGTCGATATGACGTATAGTATTTTTTTTATTTTTACTATAGTTTCAAGTATAACTGTTATAAATACAAACAATTTACGGAGGTGATAGGAGGTAATGCCAAAGTTTCAGGTCAATCGCCTTGCATTCGCTTGTTTACCTTTACTTTACTTTCGCAAAAACAAATGGACCCTAGGTTGCAACATGTGAGCCTTTCACTTAATTTCTTTAACAACAATACAGTTACAATATGTTATCATATAAAAAGGTATTATGGTAAAATACAAATCACACTCTTTTATTACAATTTAATGAAAATAACGATGACTCCGTGGCGCAGTCGCCAAGGTATCGGCTCCGGCGTCGGGGTCGTGGGTTCGATTCCCACACGGGACAACTCTTTGTGTGACCCACAGATAGTTGTTCCGCATCTGGGTGTTTGTCCGCGTGAAATATTATGTTTGTAAAAACGCCCTTACAACATAGGATAATGTTATCCAAAGTAAGGGCAATGTTTTTTCTAAAAAAAAAACCTTACATGTAGAATTATTTTAATTTTAATAATGTGAAAATTATTGGAAATTCTTTTTTATAACTTTCTTGTCACACGAATCAACACAAAAATAAACATCATATATTAAAACAGTTTTTACTATTTATTTAAACATAAATTATATCCGTTCACGAGAATTTGAGTTTTTGAATAAAAATATATTTCTGACACTCAGTTATTAATGAACCGTTTCTTTTCGTAGGTTGGTTCTGTATTTCTTTATATGACACACGACCATATTGTTCAAGAAATTGCTTTTATAATGCTTTTAAATGAATACTAACTGTAATGTGTTAACGATATGATAAGAGATATTGATAGATTTTTAATTCATTGGTGGTAAGTACCGCAACTTGTTAAGCGGTCTGGCGCCTGATTTAATGCTTGAATAAAAATTATATGGGGCAGTTTTGACTGCGCCGACCAACGCGCTTAGCAGCGGTTCTGTTTCAACGTCTTAGGGCTAGTGGATACCTAACGGTGCTAACGAAGCTAGCCAAGGCTTGCCCCGATCGCCTTGCGGTTCTCTCCTGAGAACCGCGAATTTTCGGAAGGGACCACCATCACTGGCCTTGGGTGTAGTCCTTAGTCAGCGGTGGTCCTCGTTTGGCCCTTTAGCGCCCTCGGGTAGTTTTTAATTAGCTATAAGCACACACCCGCGTGCACAATAAGATCGGCACAAGGACGCACTAGGGTCACACATTTAGGCACTCATCCTCCCTGCCTATACCCGGCAGGGAGGGATACGGACACACCCCGGCATCCCACCGGGCTTACTAAAATAGCAAAAATTTTTTCTAAACTAAAAAATGGCCGAAATTAAGGCCATATTAATGACCCTTCAGGCAAAGCACCCTGAAGCTTTTAAAGATGCCCTTCAGGCACTTAAAGAACTGTCAAGACCCTCCTCAAGGGCATCCACCTCGACCGACGATGCTGCACCGAGCTCCTCCTCGCAAGAGGAAATGGAGCTAGACTCGCCCCTTTCTCCCGACGCCGACGAAGGAGGTTTGTTCATCGAAGTGGTGAACAAAAAGAAGCGCAAGAAGCGCACCTCCCAGCCGTCTTCAACGGCCACGTCCCCCGTACCGCCAGTTAAGGCGCCAAGGCCGACCGAATCGGCCGTAGCCGGGCCCTCAGTGCCCACCCAACCAACGACATCGCCTTCAGCGATCCCAACCCCATCGCCTTCAGCGATCCCAACCCCATCGCCTTCAGCGATCTCAACCCCGGTTGCTACTCAAGCAGCCCCCGCGCCTCCCGCGGCCCCTCGTCCGCCGCAAGACAAGCGGCCACCTCCCATCTTCGTACAGGACACCTCAAAGTGGCCTATGATAGAGTCCGCCCTATCTAATAGGGTCAAATTTAGCGCAACGTCCACTACCCAAGGCATCAAGCTACAGCTTGAGACAGCCGACGCCCACAGGCAGGTTTCAAAATTCCTGCGAGACAAGGAGGTGTTTTACCACACCTACACTCTCGCAGAGGATAGAATTCTCCGCGTTGTAATAAAGAGGATCCCTGGAAACATATCCACCGACAGAGTGTTCGAATCACTCAAAAACCAAAACCTCCCGGTCCTTGCAGTCCATCGCATGACCAGTAAGCGCATGCGCACTCCCATTGACCTAGTCATGGTCCATCTCGAGTTGACCCCGGCAGGGAAGGAAATATTCAACATACAATCCGTGCTAGGACTAGACAACATAGTCGTAGAACCCCCGCATAAAGGCGTGCTCCCAGGGCAATGCCACAAATGCCAAAAATATGGGCACGCAGCCCGTAATTGCTTCGCCAGGCCTAGGTGCGTCAAGTGCCTAGGAGACCACGGCACCCGAGACTGCCCCCGGCCTAAAGATAAGGCACTGCTAGTGAGCTACGGGCCTCCCGCTTGCGTGCTGTGCCAAAAAGAAGGCCACACAGCCAACTACCTCGGCTGTCCCAACGCGCCTAAGCGCAGACCCGCCAAACCGGCCCCTCAGGCCACCAGAAGACCACCCGTACCGACGGCTGCCTCCTTCCCACCTCTACGCCCCGCGTGGCAGAACCCTATGGCCCCCGCTTGGGCCAAACCTAACCCGCCTATCATGACACCCAAACTAGCCGCACAGCCGGCTCCAATCCCTATCCCAATCCCACCAACACCAGCGACCGGAAGTAACCCTCTGGACTCGCCTCGAGGCACCGCACTCGACTCGCTATCCGACAGGCTCGACTTTGAAGTCGCTGCCCCCGTCGAACATACGCGCTTTCCATACGTAGAGGGACACACATCGGATGTGCTTGACATTGCACTCGTCAAAAACATCAGTCTCTCCTTATGCGAACCGGAAGTGATACACGAGCTTCACTCCGATCACCGACCAGTTCTCCTCCGGCTAGGGCCTTCAGCAACAGCCGCTCCCTTAACCAAAACCGTCATCAGCTGGCATAAAATCAGATCTAAATTTAACGAACCTAATCCTCCACAACTAGAGTCAATCCCTAGAGAATTAAATACCAAACAGGACACGGAAACCGCAATTCGAGCCCTCACAAGCCACGTCAACACCGTCGTCGAGCAATGCTCGAGACAGGTTCCAGCGATGGAAGACCATCGCTGGGCCCTGCCAGACGATGTGCGAGACTTGCTGAGACGCAAGAATGCGGCTACCCGAGCCTATGATAGATATCCCACCGACTCGAATCGTAGACTGCTACGTAAATTGCAGCGTGAGGTCAAAACACGCATAGCAGACTCACGAAACGAACGTTGGGATTCCACCCTAGCTTCAGTAAAACCATCCCATGTAGCCTTCTGGAAACTTCCCAAATCCCTCAAGGGTAACGGCATAACAACCATGCCGCCACTAGTCCGTCCGATAGGTACGCCAGCAATGCTGGACGAAGAGAAGGCCGAATGCCTGGCTGACAGCCTAGAGTCTCAATGCTCCCCCAGTCTGCTTCCGATCGACCCCGAACACCTCCGCAAGGTGAACGAAGAGGTAGAAAGGAAAGCCTTAGAGCCACTTCGCGATCCCGTTCCCCCAGTCACGTGCTCCGAAATAATAGACACCATCAATAAACTACGCCCGCGTAAAGCACCAGGCTCAGATGGTTTCACCAATAAGGTGACCAAGCTCCTCCCTACTAGCATCCTTCAGATACTAGTATTAATTTACAACGCGGCCTTAACCGAAGGCTTCTTCCCATCCGAGTGGAAGGAAGCCGTCATAGGGTTCCTCAAACCCTCTAAACCCGCCACTCTCCCAACCTCATATCGTCCAATAAGTCTTCTCAAAACATTTGGGAAGATCTTTGAAAGACTAATATTAGCCCGCTTAAGATTCCTTATGGACACCAAAGGGCTCCCCATCCCAGAGCAGTTTGGATTTAGAGCCAAACACTCATGTACCCATCAAGTGCACCGCATCACGGAGCACATTTTAACTAAACGTCAACGTGGACTCAACACCGGTGCGCTCTTCATGGACGTGGCAAAAGCGTTCGACAAAGTCTGGCACAACGGGCTCGTATACAAGCTATACGGGTACGGAGTGTCCGACCGTCTCGTATGCATAATACGAGACTTCCTAAGTAATCGAACCTTTCGCTATCGCGTCGAGGGCGTGTGTTCGACTACGCATCCCGTTCGAGCCGGGGTGCCCCAAGGGTCGGTGTTGGGACCAGTCTTGTTCACTCTCTACACCAATGACATGCCGCGTGTCAAAGATGTAGAACTTGCTCTTTTTGCCGACGACACCTGTATTTATACCACAGGCAGAACACCCGAATTGATCCATCGACGCCTCCAAGCTGCGGCCATCACCATCGGTGACTGGTTTTCGGCAATGGAGGATCGAAATCAATCCCGCCAAAAGCGCGGCAGTCCTTTTCGCGCACAAAAAGAACATACCCATTTCACCCCCCGTTAAACTCTTGGACAGCCCAGTACCATGGGTTAATAAAGTCAAATATCTAGGCGTCGTCCTCGACTCCCAGCTTAAATTCACCCAGCACGTGACCCAGGTCAGGAACCGGGCGGCCTTCGTACTCGGTCGCCTCTACCCGTTCCTCAATAAAACGTCAAAAATGTCCCTTCGGAACAAGGTGACCT